AAAACGATCAAGTTAATTAATTAATGACACATCAGAGGGATTCTTTTCTTCTTCTGGAGTCGAATTGATCAGTTTTGCTCTGAAATGATCAAAATCAATAAAGAAACTTGCATCATGTTTTATTTTCTTACTAATAAAGGAAGCGTTTTATTTATAAAGCTTCTCTGTAACAAAGAGCTTCAGTTTCAGAGCAGCTGCTGTTAGAGTGAATCATTTATCAGCTCAGGGCTGCAAACGTCCCGCATTAAACCAATAAAGAACACGATAGATCCTGGGAGGAATGTCCAGACAGGAAGTGTCCGATTTGTCTTCATGAAGCTGGTGACGTCATTCAGTGCAGAAAGGAGAAGGAATGAATGAAACTTAAATCTCTGAAAGCATCATGGCGTCTAACCTGCTGCGTCTCCTGGTCTTGGAGTTGTGTGGAGCCTTCGTGGTGGCCTTCGGGGAGTTCCAGATGATGCACTCCAGGTTCGCCTCCCTCATCACCACCTTCTGGCCGATCTACGCCTCCAACACGCTGGTCGTGACCGGCACCATCGTCACCTGTGTGTGCTACCTGGGAGTTCTGGGGGGCATGAGGGAGAACCGCTGCATGCTGATCACGGTGAGTTCCTGCCTGATGTTTGCTGAAAGAGCTGAACGGCATCTAACTGATCCGGCTCTGTGTGTTCCAGTTCTACGTTCTGCTCTTCCTCCTCATGCTGGTGGAGCTGGCCATGGCCTGCGTCTTCTTCGTCTACGGCAGGGAGGTAGGAAGCTGCAGCTGATGGTTCCTCCTTTGGAAGTGATTGTTGACCTCCACCCAGAGGGGGGCGCCAGGAAGAACATAATGAAGTACAGTTAGTGGTGTAAAAAGTTACACGGCTCATCGACTGCAGCTGCTGCAGCTTAAGATCACGTCTAGAATCATGTTTTAAAAAGGCAGCTTTTGGTTCTTAGATCAGCCGAGTTCCTGAACCTCCACAGCATCTCTCCGTGTCCCTGATGCTAACCGCTAACTGCTAGATCTGCAGGGGCATGCTGCTGCCTTTCTCTAGCTGCTGCACGGCTCCATGCTGGGCCCTGATCTCTGAGCAGACACACCATCACCTGGAGAATCTATAGAAAGTCAGTAATAGATGTTCTGCATGTGGGAGGCTTTCAATGAGAAATACAACCACAGAACATGAAGGCAGGACTGTGTCCTTCTGAAGCACATCTAGATGATCCCAGAGAATGTTTGTCCACCAACAGTAGCAGCAGTTCAGAAAAGACCAGCAGTAGAGCATGGTGGTGGCAGTATGGTGGTCTGGGTACCTGAGCCCAGAACCAACCGAGGTTCTGCAGCAGAAAGACCAGAACAGGGCAGCAGGTCCATCTCTGAAGGAAGAACCAAACAGAGACCCTGGAGCAGCTGTCAGCCCACAGCACCATGGAGCCAGATTTACTGCCTCAACAATGGAAAGATTCTGAAACGCTGAAGTTGGAAAAACATGCAGAGAAAAGATGAAAACAGGAAGCAGGCAGTCTTCGTCTTTCCTCCTAACTGGGTTTCTGCCTCCTGCAGATCGACACGTACTTTGAGAAGGACCTGAGCCGCAGCCTGGAGGTCTACATGCAGTCCACCTCAGGGGGGAACCAGACCATTAAAGACGACTTTGATGCCGTCCAGTACCTGGTAAACACCCGCATTCAGGCAGCCGCTCCGAGCAGCTGCACGGTTCCTAAGCAACAAACATGTTTATAAAGGGTGAATGAAGCGGTTCTTAGACCATCAGGTTCATGTGAGGCTTCATCTTCTCCCAGTTTCAGTGCTGTGGAGTTCATGGTCCAGCGGACTGGAAGGGAAACGCTCCGCGCTCCTGCTGCAGAAAGGATCCCTGCAACATCGCTGACCAGCCCAACTGGGAGGAGGTAACCCCCCGATCCCCGACCCTTTGACCCCCACCGCCTGAGCCTAATTATCAGCCTCACACCGCAGTCAGGTGTCTAGTTTCAGCTAACCGGACCTAAAACCCCGGATCAGCTGAGGAGACCTGCTTACACTGGAACCAGTTTAGTGAAACCAGTAGGTGTCTGGAAACCAACCGGATGTGTGTTTGAACCTGCAGGGCTGCCTGCTGAAGCTGAGGAACTGGTTCGCCTCCAACTACCTGAGCACTGCGTCCGGAGTGGTCACCATGTTCATGATTCAGGTAAGGTGGGATCAGCGGTGCAGCTGGAGCCGCTCAGGGGCCGCCGGGTCCACTGCTTCCTCCTTTGAGCTGCTTCCTCCTCTGAGCTTCCTCCTTTGAGCTGCTTCCTCCTCTGAGCTT